GAAATTCTACTTGGAGGACCATGGGACTTAGTAAGTAAGGTTATAAGTACCCTAACTGGGGTTATAATTATAGCTACCTTACTTATAACCCTATAGTTACTAAGTCCCATGATCCTCCAAGTACCCTAAACCCTAACCCCTAACCCCTAAACCCCTAAACCCCTAAACCCTAAACCCAAACCCCTAAACCCTAAGCCCTATCCAAGTAGAGGCCTTGATATTGTGATTGAGGGTATCTTCCTCAGTTAAGGGGTAAGTTGGGCTCCCTGGGCCAAGCTCGAGGATTCTCGGTAGAGAGAAATTCTGAGGGCCCAAATAGGGTTCCTTTCAAGGGGGTCCTTCAAGGGCTTTTGAAAGGGTACCATAAAGGCTCAGGGATATTCGGGCTGTAAGGATCCATGTGCCCAAATAGTGCATACTTTGGCCTTGAAGTCGTCCCTGTATGGGTACTCTCGGGCCAGAGTATATGCAATTTGGGTACATGGACCCTTGGGAGAATATTCTTTTGCTCAGGGTTCACAGTAGGGTTTAGTGTCTACGGTTGATACATATCGGGTTTAAGGGCTAGGGTTTTGGATAACTAGGTACTTGGGTTGATGAGGATAGTAGTCATATCTAGCAATCATAGGCTAGAGCCGGGTTTTTGGGGGTATCTGATGGTACTTGCACCCCTATGATGCTGTTGTCTGGTTATCTGCCCTGGAATCTGAACCCTAAACCCTAAACCCTAAACCCTAAACCCTAAACCCTCACTCAACCATAAACCCTAAACCCTAACCCTCGAGTGATGATGTCCCGAGGCCGAAGGTCTTGTATCAAAGTAGGACCCCGACTAGAATCCCTTGAAACATCTCTAAGTTTAGGGTTTAGGGTTTAGGGTTTAGGGTTTAGGGTTTAGGGTTAAACACAGAACAACCCAAAACCCCAAAGCCACACTAGTGTCTGAATCCAAAACCCTCGAACTCCAGACCCCTGAACCCGAAACCCATCCCTACAAGGGTCAAAGTACACTCATATGGATACATGGACCCTGAACCCTACCCTAAACCCTAAACCCTAAACCCTAAGCCCTGTCCCAGGATCCTTCAAGTCAAACAGGGGTGCCTCTGTAGAGGCCGGTGAAGCCCTCCTGGCTAAGGTTCTTCACGAAGGTCTTCCGAAGCTCTAAAAACCGACTGCACCAATTATAATGGTTACAACTCGAAATTAGGCGGACAACTTCCTAGACCCTCCATCTACTCTCCATAAGACCCTAAAGACCCTTAAATTGGGACCATATACCCCTATTTGAGGGTACTTGGAGGGTCCTGGTATAGAGTTTTCTGCGTTTTGTTTTGGTTCAGGATCTATGTAAGCCCAAGCCAATACGGAATCGGTAACTCGGCACCTAGGCATTTAAGAATCGACCCAAGCCTTGATCCAGGCCTGCCTCGCGAGCACGTCAAGGTCTTTCTCTCGGTGTGGGTTTCGGGGCAAAGGGCTGGGGTTTACGGTTTAGGGCACAGCGCTACAAAGCGACCATGGATATGGATTGTTCTCTAAATTAGGACCCCTTCTTAGATCCCAAATATATTACGGCACCCTTTCAAAAAGGACCCTAAAAAAGGACCCTGATTTAGAGAACTACCCATGTACCAGTACCGGTGCCCCTTGGGCAAACCACTCACACCCATGCCGCCCTAGAGAAGCCCCAGCCCGAACCCTAAACACCAAGTACCAAGCTTAGCCTAAAGGGGCTTACGGTAGTTTAGGGTTTAATTATATCGGGATCATGCATGCGATCTAGAGGAACCTAGGGCCCTATATAAGTTAAAAGTCATCCGTAAACCCCAAACTCCAAACTCCCTTAACCCTGTTGGTCCTCAAGGAAGCTAAACCTAAAACCCCAAACCCTAAACCCTAAAACCCTAAAACCCTAAACCATAAAACCTAAACCCTAAAACCCCTAAACCATAAATTCTAAACCCTAAAACCCCAAACCCTAAAACCCTAAACCCTAAAACCCTAAACCCTAAACCATAAAACCTAAACCCTAAAACC